AAACAGCTGTCGCGATTACTTGGCATAACTTATGAATAAAGCGCTGCGGAAAAGCGCGAAGTTCATATTTGGTGTCAGCGGCTCTGATTAACCTTCTGTATGAGTTTTCGGGCTGTTTGTTTTGCTTTTTGATCCGAAATTGGGCCCTTAATGGCTGAAAACTCTCTATAGAATTCTCACCGTAATCTTACAGTAATAAAAGCTATCGGTAATTTGCTTTATACCGAAATCTGAGTTGAAGCCAGCTTCACAGAATGGTACCTAAAGCATGGCAAAAGACTTAACAGAAAGAGAGATATTCACGATCAAAGAGTGCATACATACTTTTGGGACACCCTGTAATTTCAGAGCATATCAGTTTTGATGTTTAATCTATTTACTTATGTTTTATTTGTATGTTTCTTCCTTCTCTTTCTTTCACTGACTCAGAGCTGTGAAAAAAGTTCGTGTTATAGATGAGTAGTGTGGTTTTGGCAACTACTCCGGAAAGCGGAGCACCAGTGGGCTCCCCGACACCATCATCCTATTGTGAGCTTATGAGCGAATTTAGCACAAGCCCGGCTAGTTTGGTGAGAAACGCCTTTTGTTATATCGATTTCGTTTACACTACAGTGTGACTGTTACAGGCAGCGGCATCACCACCGGATCCATCGAACGCAAATCTGAAACCTGCGAGGTGATTTTTATTGCTTTCATGTCATGAGGGGATATTACTTTTTAAAAGTCAAGGTCTCGTTCCACATCGGTTGCAAGTGAGGGCGAGCCGGTAGCGTCCACCAGTCCGAAGACCAAACCAAATATAGTGAGGATTTTGAGGTTTTTTCTACTTTTATAAATTTCGCTTGGTTTTTCAGATTGTTGCGAAGAATATGCCATTTGCAAATCTACTGACAGTATCGTACACTGGTGTATTGTTCCCATTACCCGAAGAAATTATGGGAAGGAAGAAAAGTCGTGAGTTCATTCCAGTTATACGCAATTTTTCGTTTTGCATTTTTCCTTTTTTACTTTTTCCATGCTAGTTATCAATGAGAGGTTATTTTGTTATATTTCAGATTCCGAATCGGCAATTTTAGAGGGAAACGGCAATACCGAGGTTCCACTTAGAGCTGATTCTTTTGCGAATTTGATGTGCGCTGCTGTTCCTGGTGCGGCTAACGAAGAGCATAAGGAAACCAAAGTGTCCACCGAAGAGAATGTGAAAGTCGAAACTGAAGTGACCAAAGGCGAGGAGGAGCTGAGTGAGTTTTTGAATTTACGAATTTTTCTGATGTCTAATCTTTTTCATTTCCTCTTTTCCTTTTATCTAATACAGACTTGTAACCGTCGCTTTCAATTTTTCATCGTAAAACGTGACGTATGGATGAATTTTGGAAGATTCCAGATGCACATCGAATTAGAATTTTTCTAATCTTGCATGTAAAATACCTCAAAATTGGTGAATGTAATCCAGTTAACCGTATGTCCTATTAAGTAGCTACCATTTAGAAGCTGACGATGCTGAAAAACCCGCTGTGAAAGTCAGTTTTGATTTGGAATGCAGTGAGAGAACACTTGTCGACCCAGATAGTGATAGCCAGACTGAATCGCGGAAGGATGACGTGGGAGACCCAGAGGAATCCGTAGCCACACTAAAACGCTCCACAGCAGATGCCGAGGAAGTAGTCGCCACATCCGATGACGACTCGTTCGTGAAGGTAGGCTTCTTGAGAATACAGATATCGTGCAGTGCATAACGAGATGTAATGGTAAATGTTTGCTGATTTTGAAACACATTCATAGAATTCGGTCCAGATCCCATTGTTCGGTCGAACATCAGCCGGTGAAGCAGCACAAGAAGGAGAGCTGGATACGCATTTGACCGAATTTGTAACATCGTGTAAAGCGGCACCGCCACTAATTGCTGTGCCACAAGAATGGGACACTTTAAGTGACATTCAGAGTTTGGTGAGTGCTTCACGAGTTTTTTTTTGTTTTGACATTTCCCAAACCTTACTTTTTTTGTTATCCTAAAATCTCACAGATAAGTCCTCCCATCAGATAAGTCC